CTTAAAGCAGATTTTTTTAGCTTTGAAGATTGCAGACGACAAGAGAATGGTAACAAATTACAATTCAGAAAGAAGTGAGAGCATTCTTCACATTTACTTACCGCGTCAAGTCATCCTTGGTTGGTCTAAAGACATCAAATGCTCGTTTTGGCACAAAAGCGAAATGCTCTCCAGCATCGCAGAGAACTCGCGCAATTGTCATCTTTCGGATTTGCCTCACCTGGGCGGGTGTGAAGACTTTGGAGTTTTCAAAGTAAAGCCTGCAAGAAAAAGGGCATCTTCATCACTTTAGAACCTGCCATATTTGAATTTCAGCTAGGAACACCGAGGTTCCGTTGGCGATTCTCTTCAACAAAGGATATCTCAATCACAGCCAGTTCCTTCAATCAGCTATATATCGCTGGATGTGGATGAATGGCGACATGTAGATATTGCGAGAGCGTAAGAGGTGCGGCGATGGGCGAATTTGGATTCACTTTTCTCACGCACGACAAGTTTTTAGAAGCAACAGGGAACAGGGTGACGTTTGGTTTTTGAGCTCTACGAGAGTACAAGAATTGGGAAGAGAAGGCATCTCAAGGCCAATTTATACGTCAGAGACGGTCTACCCACTACAAAAAAAAGGTATTCCTAGAACTACTAAAAGTAACCTTGTTTTCCGAAAGAACGCTTCTAGACCTATACCAAAACGCAAAACACAAGAAAGTTGAAGGCAAATAACTCTTCTCACATCCTCTGCAGGATCGCATCTTCCAAGAATTCAAATTCAAATTTTCCGCCGCACATCGCCTAAAGCGCGTCCACTTACATCCGCTTTCCATTCGCTAATTTTTGCACTAAACCAAAATCAAAGCCTCCTCGGCAAAAAAACTATTTAGCACCTGTCTCCATCCCTAGTCCGTCTGAACTGCTCTCCTATAATGCAAGACAAAGTAGGCCCAACCAAGGAGTGGGGCAATGGGTCTTCTAACAGAGAACCGACGTACATGTCAATGGCACCTAGAAGAACACTAGAAATGTTTTTGTTGTGGGCAAGTGAAAAAAAGCAAAATTCAAAGATTCCACTGGAGTCGAGCAAAGTATGACCAAACGGATGTTCATATGAAGATGGTGCTCCCGTTAACTTAGCCACTTACCAACGTGTTTATAGATAACTCTAAGGTTTTCTACAACGATCTTGTTGGAGATAGTTTTGTTAAGATCGTCGAAGTCTTTAATCTCGGGCAAACCGCAGAATGATCGCCATTGAACGAATGCAGGAACACCATGGTCTCTGAAATAAAAAGGGCAATTTTTGGTTTCTTAATC